CAGGACTCTCAGAACCCTCAGAGCCCGAGTCAAAAGAGTCTCCTTCAAACAGGTGGGCCTTCAGAAGGCCCTTCTTCTTCACTGGAGAGCTTTTATTCATGAGGCTGCCGACTGCAGTCCTCCCCATGGGCTTGCCAAGAGGGGAGTGCTGAAAGGTGTCCTCGGCATGGGCTTGCCAAGGGGGGAGTGCTGAAAGGATGTGTCCTCGGTGCCCTGGCCAGCCTCAACATCACCTGGTTTCTTCTCCTTGAGGGAAAAAGGTTTCTTGTTGGGACTCATTTTCTTGTGCCAAAAGATAGACGTTTCTTCAGGCAAACCTTTTTTCCCCTTCTTCCTGGCCAGGGCTGCAGAAGCATGGTCAAAGAAATACACCACCGCGAGGTGTTTGTTGCGCCTGGTGTCAATGCGCTGCACTTGAGCAATTTTGCCAAAGTGATTCTCCAGAAAGTTCCTGTTGTTGAGAAAGTCGGGAATGTTCTTGCACTGGATCGCTGTGACTTCAGAGGGAGAGAAGCCCCCAAGACTGTCTGTGCTCTCACTTCTTTGATTCTGACGCCCAGGAGTTCCTCTTGGCTCACCTTCTTCCTCTTTCACACCTGGAAGCCGGGAAGCTGCCAGAACAGAAGGACTCCCTCCTGGGATGGCCATGTGATCCTTTTTCCCCGACTCGGCACAGCCAATTTCCTTTCTAGATTCCTTGTTGCCCAGACGACTGACTTCTTTATTGCTTTTGAAAATATCCGGTCTAGTCTGACCAAACAGAGCACCTCCAAGGGGCCGGTTCAGGCGGACTGACTGCTTATTGGGAGGATGATCACCCCTTGACAGAGGGTCCAAGTCTGCCACTGCGTCGTGGCCATATCTCCTTGGGGAGCGATCCTGATCCTCCTTCCTTTTCAGTCCTTTCATGAAGCTGCAAAGTGGCTCCACTTGGGAAACAGTTTCTTCACATCCTTGTCTGGCACCTGTTTTGCTAACTGGGAAGGGTTCCCCCAATGATCCTGAAAAAGATGTGGAGAAGCTACTATTAAGACTTAAATTGCTCCCACCTCGGTAAGTTCTGTCGATATCAGCGTCAGTAGGAATTCTCTTCACTCAACTGGCAGCTCTGACTTCAGTCAGTCTACTCTGGAGAAGTGATGTGTCCTCTGCACAGATGGGCCTTTTATATGACACCCCTGAGGCCACACCCACTTGCTGAGATTGGCTAAAATCTACAAAAGGAAATAACCACCTTAAATAGATTATACAGATTATAGTCTGATAGGTCATTCGGGTTACAACACATAGAAAACAATGACTAAAGAGGATTAAAGAGGCTTGAATCCCAGCTATGGCTAACAATGATGGGGCAATAAGCAGGAAATAGCTACTCCTCTGCCATGTGCAAGTTCAAAATCATTGGACTAAGCCTTCTGATGGTGCTCAGCCATTTAGCATGGGCCCTGGAAATAAGAGGTCATAGGTTCATTCCCTGTCAGCACACATGCCTGGGTTGTGGGCTCCATCCCCAG